TGAGAGGCGGTTGTTCCATCTTTAAATAAATTATGTGGTAATTTTTTTACTAATTAGATGAATAAAAGAATAAGAGCATGAGAAAGTAAAAGAATAAGACAGTAAGTTGAAGTTTATCGAAAGATTGAATAAGCCTAAATGTTATATATTGTTATTTTTATGATTTATAATAATTACCATCATAACTATATTTTCATGTCAACGTAACGTTAGTAATAAAAATGTATATATATTGATATTGAATTCTGGAAAGAATTTAAAGATAGATTTAGTGACAATCATAAATTTATATATTTTGATGCATACAGTTTTTAACTCATGATTATAAAAAGAAGTATTATATTTCAGATATTAAATGTTATTTATCACTAGCTCGATTTAGGATCGCTTTTCGTTATTTATAATTATGCTTCAATAGTTTTTTTTAAGTTTAAGGGGATGCTGAAATCGCTATACCGATAAAATTAGTGTTTTTGATGTTTTTGTTCTTGTCGAATTTCTTCTGTAGTGGTTTCACAGAATAAAAATTCCTTTCCCATGATTAAAATGTACATGCTAATGTATTTGTCACTGATATATTTCGTGTCCAAAGCTGGAAAAAATTACAGCTTTCTTTATCCATTTTTATCTTATAACAGTATGACGACGCTGAAGGTAAAGTGGATCAAGAAATCTCTAATTTCTTTTTCCAATTTTAAACACCAGCAACAAGTACAGTAGCATTTTAATCATAGAAAAGGAATTTTTATTCTGTGAAACCACTAGAAATTCGATAGGAACAAAAACATCAAAAACGCTAGTTTTATCAGTAATAGCACCTTCTTAAGCTTAACAAAAATCTAACAAAAGTTAAAATTAAATTAAACAATCCAGAAAATTGGTTTTAAAGTATATTCTTTTGTGCAAGATTTGAATAGAATTGCAAGGAAATTAAGAAGGAAATGCAGTTAAGCTACAGCTTCTAAAAAAAAACCAAGACTACACCTTCCAGATTGTTCTCGTGGCCACGAACTTGTCAGGCAATATTAGCGTGTGTTTACAATATTTTCTATGGAGAGGCAAGATGAAACGATCACGTCAGCAGAATGTGCGCGCAATAATACATTACACGCGTATACAAGGAGCATTTTCCAAGACGAATAACATTTCGATTGGCATCAACCGCCAATTTTCTTTATTCTCTCTTCCTGCAATTTTTTCTCACAAATAATTGAGCTAGGAGCGATCGGTGTCCTAATTTCGTGAAGTCGATTGTCACAATCGGATATATGGATATATATATATATATATACACACACACACACACATACAC